CATCCTGTGTCCTACCACCAGATTTCCCATAGCAGTTCCAGTGAAGAACATCACGGCTGCTACGGTTATCAAACATCTACTGAAGATCTTCACTCAATACGGATTTCCCAGGGAGATTCAAAGTGACTGTGGCACCAACTTCACCAGTGATCTCTTCAAAAGGACACTGGAGGAGTTCAACATCAAACAGGTATTGTCCAGCCCCTATCATCCTGCTTCACAGGGTTCTCTTGAACGTAGTCATCAGACCATCAAAGCACTCTTGAAAAAGTTTTGTAGTGAAACCTCAAAGGATTGGGATAAGCAGATTGACCTAATAATGTGTATTTTCAGAAGTCTCCCCAATGAGTCCCTAGGAGTATCTCCTTATGAGATGCTCTACGGCCGTAAGTGCCGTACTCCCCTTAAGGCTTTCAAAGACTCTCTCAGAGATGCCACCTTCAGTGAGCATCAGAATGTGCCCCAGTTTCTTCAAAACCTTCAGCACATTCTAGAGAGAGTCCACCGCTTTGCCCATGATAATCTATTGAAAGCCCAGGTGAGAATGAAGACTCATTACGACCAGACCAGCAAAGTAAGAAAATTCAAGCCGGGAGACTTCGTCCTTGCTTATTTCCCTATCCCAGGTTCACCTTTACAGAACAGATTTTCAGGACCCTACTGCGTCAAAGAGTGCAGAAGCAACAACACATACGTCATAGAGACTCCAGATAGGCGGCGGAAGACCCAGCTGTGCCACGTCAACCTCCTGAAGCAATATAATGGTACTCCTCCCACTGTCTTGATAAACTATTCTACTTTCACAGAACCCTACATCCACAGTGAGACCATCCCGGCTTCTTCTCCCGAAAGCACTGACAAGGAGTCGGCGCTTTCTAATTCCAAAATCCTTAATGATCTTCCCAAATGCTTTCAGGATAATACTCGTGCTCCTATGCCCTCTTCTAATTCCACTCTCACCTCGTCAGATAAGCCCTACATCCTCCATGTCGACGCCAATGGTACCGACGATGGTGGTGTCGTGATGCAGCAACGAGGCGAGAAGAATACACCTGTCAGCGACTACTGCTACAAGGAACGACGGAACAATTGGCAAGGAGCTACTCTTCCTCATCCTGAAGCTTCAGCACTTCACTCCACACCTGACAAGTGCTCGGTCCACCATCAATACGGACCACACCTCCCTACACCTCCTGCAGCACGCCCACTTCTCATCTCAACGTCTTCTACTATGGGCTTGCTAACTGCAGAAATTCAACCTGGAGACACGCTATACCAAGAGTCTGACAACATCTTAGCCCATGATCTCTCCAGAGTTTATGAAGTAGAAGCAACTCCATCCATTACTCCACCACATAACGACGTACTTCTTCCAGAACCGCAGGCTTCGGGGGAGAGTTGTGACGATAATCTCCTTCAAGAGATTGAGCCTGCTCTTCCCTCCATAATTACGTCTTCACAATTATATAAAAAGACTATGGAAGAAATGTCCAACAACGACAACAAGGCACCAGCAAGGCTTGCCAGGGTGAGCAGAAACGTATGCAACCAGCCACCTGTTCGAACTCCAACCACCAAACCACCCGTTGATCGCTACGGCTCCGCTGATTGGTCGCCGGTCTGGCTGCACCTGCCTCGCCCCCCAATACTACCTGATGTCTGGGGTCGCCCCAACATCAGTCCTCAGAATGTTCCGTGCTTTCGTAGCCAGCACTCCTCCCAGCTAGACGTTAGCGTGTACTGAGAGAGGTGGTGGCTTTAAGCCAATATTCCAGCACCTCCCACTTAACTGTTGTATTGCACTTCTTGTTATTTTGCCTTAACGTAACTTTTCATTGTGTCATTTAAGTATTCTTATTATTTTGATTGATTGATTTTATTATACATATTTGTTTGTGCATTATTTTCATGTTTTGATTTATTTAACGTAATTAAAATTTCATTGTTAAAGTTTACTTGTGTTTTGTGTGTCTTCTCCTTACCTTACCACAGACGAAGTTCCAGTTTTTCTATTTTTTTTTATAACTATGTGACGAGGCCATATACCTAGCCTTAAACAGCCGAACACCAACGCGTTACCGTCACAATGGATTAGTTTGCTAAGAGTGTGTATGGATTAGTTTGCTAAGAGTGTGTATGGATTAGTTTGCTAAGAGTGTGTATGTCTTAGTTTGCTAAGAGTGTGTATGGATTAGTTTGCCAAGAGTGTGTATGGATTAGTTGCTAAGAGTGTGTATGGATTAGTTTGCTAAGAGTGTGTATGGATTAGTTACTAAGAGTGTGTATGGATTAGTTACTGTGTATGGATTAGTTACTAAGAGTGTGTATGGATTAGTTACTAAGAGTGTGTATGGATTAGTTACTAAGAGTGTGTATGGATTAGTTACTAAGTGTGTGTGGATTAGTTACTAAGTGTGTGTGGATTAGTTACTAAGTGTGTATGGATTAGTTACTAAGAGTGTGTATGGATTAGTTACTAAGAGTGTGTATAGATCAGTTACTAAGAGTGTGTATAGATCAGTTACTAAGAGTGTGTATAGATCAGTTACTAAGAGTGTGTATGGATCAGTTACTAAGAGTGTGTATGGATCAGTTACTAAGAGTGTGTATGGATCAGTTACTAAGAGTGTGTATGGATCAGTTACTAAGAGTGTGTATGGATCAGTTACTAAGAGTGTGTATGGATCAGTTACTAAGAGTGTGTATGGATCAGTTACTAAGAGTGTGTATGGATCAGTTACTAAGAGTGTGTATGGATCAGTTACTAAGAGTGTGTATGGATCAGTTACTAAGAGTGTGTATGGATCAGTTACTAAGAGTGTGTATGGATTAGTTACTAAGAGTGTGTATGGATCAGTTACTAAGAGTGTGTATGGATCAGTTACTAAGAGTGTGTATGGATCAGTTACTAAGAGTGTGTATGGATCAGTTACTAAGAGTGTGTATGGATCAGTTACTAAGAGTGTGTATGGATTAGTTACTAAGAGTGTGTATGGATTAGTTACTAAGAGTGTGTATGGATCAGTTACTAAGAGTGTGTATGGATTAGTTACTAAGAGTGTGTATGGATTAGTTACTAAGAGTGTGTATGGATTAGTTACTAAGAGTGTGTATGGATTAGTTACTAAGAGTGTGTATGGATCAGTTACTAAGAGTGTGTATGGATTAGTTACTAAGAGTGTATGGATTAGTTACTAAGAGTGTATGGATTAGTTACTAAGAGTGTGTATGGATCAGTTACTAAGAGTGTATGGATTAGTTACTAAGAGTGTATGGATTAGTTACTAAGAGTGTGTATAGATCAGTTACTAAGAGTGTGTATGGATCAGTTACTAAGAGTGTGTATAGATCAGTTACTAAGAGTGTGTATGGATCAGTTACTAAGAGTGTGTATAGATCAGTTACTAAGAGTGTGTATGGATCAGTTACTAAGAGTGTGTATAGATCAGTTACTAAGAGTGTGTATAGATCAGTTACTAAGAGTGTGTATGGATCAGTTACTAAGAGTGTGTATAGATCAGTTACTAAGAGTGTGTATGGATCAGTTACTAAGAGTGTGTATAGATCAGTTACTAAGAGTGTGTATAGATCAGTTACTAAGAGTGTGTATGGATCAGTTACTAAGAGTGTGTATAGATCAGTTACTAAGAGTGTGTATGGATCAGTTACTAAGAGTGTGTATAGATCAGTTACTAAGAGTGTGTATAGATCAGTTACTAAGAGTGTGTATGGATCAGTTACTAAGAGTGTGTATAGATCAGTTACTAAGAGTGTGTATAGATCAGTTACTAAGAGTGTGTATAGATCAGTTACTAAGAGTGTGTATGGATCAGTTACTAAGAGTGTGTATAGATCAGTTACTAAGAGTGTGTATGGATCAGTTACTAAGAGTGTGTATAGATCAGTTACTAAGAGTGTGTATGGATCAGTTACTAAGAGTGTGTATAGATCAGTTACTAAGAATGTGTATGGATCAGTTACTAAGAGTGTGTATAGATCAGTTACTAAGAATGTGTATAGATCAGTTACTAAGAGTGTGTATAGATCAGTTACTAAGAGTGTGTATAGATCAGTTACTAAGTGTGTAACGATAGTTGTATGTATGGCTGGAATATTTAACTAATTGTATAGTATATCTACATTTCAATTTTTTTTTAAATACACGATTTGTTCTCTAATATTTATAACTTTCTCTAATATTTATAAATAATATTTCTCTAATATTTATAATATACAACTAATTCTCTTGAAAATACACATCACTGAAATATAATAATAATCCTACAGAATATACAATTATCTATTATGGACAACAAATTCTCTATAATGTACTAATAATTATGTAGCTTATAGAAGAAATTGACTAGAATATCCCACGAATTTTGTAATGTATGCAGTTAATTCTCTAGAATATACAACACATTCTCTATTCCACTAACATTCTTACTGTGTATTAATATTCAATATTCAACAAATCGTCTTGAATATACAGCTTTAATAGACAACTAATTCTCTTGCATATACAACATTTTCTTGGATATACAACATATTTCCTTGAATATACATCAAATTACCTTGAATATAGAACAAATTCTTTGAATATACAACAAATTCTTTGAATATACAACAAATTCTTTGAATATACAACAAATTCTTTGAATATACAACAAATTCTCATAAATATAAAGCAAATTCTACTGAACATACTTCTAATTCATAAACTATTCGACTAATAATCTTGAATACACAACTAATTATCTAGAATATACGATTGCTATTATGACTGATGAAATAACAACAAATATAATAAAAGCCCGGTTAAGCCCTGTGGCACTGTGAGCTTGGGAATTCAATTATGCACAGGCAATCCTATTTTGAGAATATAATGGAATGCCCATAAAAAACAGAGCCATCCCTCCCCCCCAAAAAAGAAATTATTACTAAAGTGAATGTTTTGAAATGTGGCCAACACCCCCATTTGTTTTTGCTATGGATTTCAGCTCGATGAGAAAGATGCCGTTTCGAGCAATGCCACAGAGAGCATCGAACTGCAAGAGCTGTGCCGTGTGCGGAAGCAGGATGATCAGAAGGAAGAGGAGGCGGAGGAGGAGCTCAAACATAGGGTGGATGATGAGGAGCAGGATGATGAAGGAATGAGATTGATGGATGAGGATGATCTTCCTCCTACTATCACTAACGCCACTCTTGACTTGGAACTCCAGAGAGCCATCCAGGCAGCCGCCCAGGGTAGACATGTTCATCATATACAGGTCAGTTGCTTCGTCTGTCTGTCTGTCTATATCTGGTGGCTGTTCCACACACCTGTCTCTCGCTGGTGCCTCTAGTCACACCTGTCTCTGGTGCCTCTAGTCACACCTGTCTCTGGTGCCTCTGGCACACCTGTCTCTCTTATGCCTCTGGCACACCTGTCTCTCTTATGCCTCTGGCACACCTGTCTCTCTTATGCCTCTAGTCACACCTGTCTCTCTTATGCCTCTGGCACACCTGTCTCTCTAATGCCTCTAGTCACACCTGTCTCTCTTATGCCTCTGGCACACCTGTCTCTCTTATGCCTCTGGCACACCTGTCTCTAATGCCTCTAGTCACACCTGTCTGGTGCCTCTAGTCACACCTGTCTCTGGTGCCTCTGGCACACCTGTCTCTCTTATGCCTCTGGCACACCTGTCTCTCTTATGCCTCTAGTCACACCTGTCTCTCTTATGCCTCTGGCACACCTGTCTCTCTTATGCCTCTGGCACACCTGTCTCTCTAATGCCTCTAGTCACACCTGTCTCTCTTATGCCTCTGGCACACCTGTCTCTCTTATGCCTCTGGCACACCTGTCTCTCTTATGCCTCTGGCACACCTGTCTCTAATGCCTCTAGTCACACCTGTCTCTCTTATGCCTCTGGCACACCTGTCTCTCTTATGCCTCTGGCACACCTGTCTCTAATGCCTCTAGTCACACCTGTCTCTCTTATGCCTCTGGCACACCTGTCTCTCTTACGCCTCTGGCACACCTGTCTCTCTAATGCCTCTAGTCACACCTGTCTCTCTTATGCCTCTGGCACACCTGTCTCTCTTATGCCTCTGGCACACCTGTCTCTCTTATGCCTCTGGCACACCTGTCTCTAATGCCTCTAGTCACACCTGTCTCTCTTATGCCTCTGGCACACCTGTCTCTAATGCCTCTAGTCACACCTGTCTCTGGTGCCTCTACATGTATGTTTGGTGCCTCTCTGCAACCGTTCTCGCAAATTCGTAAAGTCAATATTGACTTATTAATTACGTGCATAGGTGATATACTAAACATAATAGATACCCTTAAAAAGATTCATAGAAAACACCAACCTTACCTAACCTTGTTAGTATGTTAAGATAAGCATCTTATTGCTTCGTAATTACAATTATTACTTAACCTATACCTATTATAGGTTAGGTAATAATTGTAATTACGAAGCAATAAGATGCTTATCTTAAGATACTAACAAGGTTAGGTAAGGTCGGTGTTTTCTATGAGTCTTTTTAAGGGTATCTATTATGTTAAGTATGTCACCTATGCACATATTTAGTAAGTCAATATTGACTTATTAAATTTGCGAGAACGGGTTGCTCTCTAGTACATAAAATACGCTATGCAGTATAGTAAGTGAAACATGGGTGTCACACTCCGTAGACTTCAGTGTCATTGTTTATAAAAATTATTAGAATGAATTCGTCTTTTGTTTAAGAAATGGAAATCACATTCTATGTAAGATATGACCAATCCTAAAAAAAATAATCCTTGTAAATTAGGTGCATATTATTCGCTGGCAAATTCTGCAAATATTTTATGATTTTCATTTATATTGTGTTGTGAAAATATTTGATAATATTTACACTCTAAACTATATCCCAGTATACAGAATGTTGTAGTTGAGTTGTTATAGCGTAAAATGAACGTTGTGTGTTGGTGTATCCATGTACTTGTGTAAATTTACAATTAATTTAATTTACAAAATTAATTAATTTTACAATTAATACAAATTAAAACAAATTTTACAATTTACAAAATACAAATTAATACAAATTTAATTAATTTACAAAATTTACAATTTAAATTATTATCTTTATCTGTGTTTTATGCAGCTGTACAAGCCCGAGGGCAGCAGCCTTGGCTTCAGCGTGGTGGGGCTGAGATCGGAGAAGAGGGGCGAGCTGGGCATCTACGTTCAGGGTATTCAGCCCACAGGCATCGCTGCTCAGTAAGTACACTTGACCCCAAACCCAGTTTTCCACCGTCTGGGAAGTTCATGGCCCCCAGAGCCTATTGTTTCTAACTTCGGTTCATTGTTTTTCAATTATCTCTGTTGATGTCGGTTAATCAGTCACGGTTTTGAATCTTTTTGCCTTTTGAATCTTTGTTATTGGTCGTTTAGATGGGTTGGCTTGCTGGCCACTCAGTGAGCATATTCACACCAGCAGCGGCCACTCAGTGAGCATGTACACCCGCCCCCAGTGGCCACTCAGTAAGCATAAGTGATTCGGTATTTTCAGTGGATCTTCTAAAATATAGATATGTTCCAGAATGTATATATTTCCCAATGAAATTTGCTTCTCGTAACATTAACGTGCAGTGCGAGAAACTGTGTGCTTGTGCGTGCGTTTGTGCGTGCGTGCGTGCGTGTGTGTGTACTCACCTAGTTGTGTTTGCGGGGGTTGAGCTCTGGCTCTTTGGTCCCGCTCCCGGTCTGGCTCTTTGTGTGTGTGTGTACTCATTTGTGCTTGCAGGATCGAGCATTGACTCTTGGATGTGTGTGTGTGTGTGTGTGTGTGTGTGTGTGTGTGTGTGTATATATATATATATATATATATATATATATATATATATATATATATATATATATATATATATATATATATATATATATATAATCTACAGCATCGGAAGCTTTCACTCGCTCCATTAACCTCGGGTCTCATAAGCTGGAGATGTGCATGAAGAAGTCATCATAATTTTCGGGAATTGACATAAATGTGTATAATACCAATGATGGTTGTTGATCTCACGACATTGATGTCAACGGGAACGATGTCACCTGGCGAGGGGAGGTAAACAGTCGTAATACAGCCGTATGCGACCCGTCGTCTAACCCGAGCCACTTCAGAAAAGTGTGGTAAGACTTCAAGTTCAAAGCTCACCTGTCTATGCTTTGATAAGGTTAACGAACTAGATATACCGAAAAGCAGTGGTTTCTAAGCTCCTAAATGTTAGGCTGAGCGACGTTGCTGGAACGTTAGAATTCAAATGCCCACCGGATTTAACGGAACATCGACAAACGTTAGAATTCAAATGCCCACCGGATTTAACGGAGCAACGACAAACGTTAGAATTCAAATGCCCACCGGATTTAACGGAACATCGACAAACGTTAGAATTCAAATGCCCACCGGATTTAACGGTACAACGATAAACGTTAGAATTCAAATGCCCACCGGATTTAACGGAACATCGACAAACGTTAGAATTCAAATGCCCACCGGATTTAACGGAGCAACGACAAACGTTAGAATTCAAATGCCCACCGGATTTAACGGAACATCGACAAACGTTAGAATTCAAATGCCCACCGGATTTAACGGTACAACGATAAACGTTAGAATTCAAATGCCCACCGGATTTAACGGAGCAACGACAAACGTTAGAATTCAAATGCCCACCGGATTTAACGGAACAACGAGTAATGGGCAAATGTTTATCGCTAGTGTCAGTAAATATCTGTAATCTGGTTCCAAAACACCATAATGGTTCTGCTGGTTTGCTTGAAAATAGTCTTAAATCCTATTTGCGAAATTCGTGTTGCTAGGCTTGTGGTAGCACGTGAAAAGTACAAAATCGGCAGAAAATAAATCAAGCAACGTACAGTAAATGTTGCTTTGCTGTATGTGATTATACGATTTTAGGTCTTAACTCGCAGCGGGTAGAGGTGTCGGGATCATAACATGGCGGGAAGGACCTCCTCACCGTGCGGTGGCGGGGGAGAGACTGAGCCGGGACCCCAGCTGACCGGCCACCACGTGGTCTATAACAGCAACAAGTGGGTGACGAGTTGCTACACACCAATAAATTGCAATATTTTACGGCTAAAAGTATTTAGTTTTCTTCAAATATTTAATGTCATGCTGTCAAGATATAGTAGTAACTGTGATAAACATGCCGCTTTGAATTGTTTATTTTCTGTAGACACGTACATTTAATATGACATTTTGTAAGGTGGATGGTAATAGTGTTTAATCAATAATGCCGGTGGTCTCCTATAGATGGCAGCAGCTGCTGGAGGGAGATCGATAAATATACCAGGCTTGCAACTGATGGTATTAATGATCATATCTGAATTGTTACGTATAATTATAGTGTACACGGATATATATTAAAGCCACGTGATAACGATAATTCCGGTAGTTTCCGGGAGATGGCAGCACCAGCTTCTAGAGGGAGGGGGGGATGAATGAGATTCCCCAGACGCGCAACAGATGGCGCTGATGTTCATTTGTTAATTATTTTCTAATAGGCTTGTTGACAATTCTTTAAATGATTGCCAGTAGTTGTACTGGCAATTCTTTTCTCCTCTTTTAAAGTGAGGAAATAAATTATGAATCGTTTAAGAGTGAAATCGATGTTATCTTTTGCGCTCAGAAATGTTGCATTTATGATAGAAAACGGGTTTTCTCTTATAGAGAAAGTGGGAATCCTAGCCTAGAAGGGCTGACTTTATAACTTCCTTGTCTCGTAACATTTTATTTGAAATTTGTCAATGCAGCTCTTTAGGTTATAATAAATAAATAAGAAATATAACGTAATTAATATATATTTTCTAAAAAGAACGAAAACTACCGTATTTTGACAAAAATATCTGACCGCATTTGACTTACGTGAGGATAATTTTTTATTAAGGCTCAGCTGAAGGTCAAGAATCGATACGCGGGTAGATGAAGGTTAGTGATTAGTTTATGTTGCCTCTGACGCAAGGTAGAGAGGCAGGTGCTTCAGAGAGGCAGGCAGGCAGGCTTGGCTTGGGATCTTTAGTGCCTTGGTGCCTGGTTTAGTATTTTTAGTGTTCAACATCTAGTTCACTGGTTCGAGTTCATCATCATCATTGGGAAGCTCTTTAGCTCCCTAAAAACATCTAAACAGTAGACTTATAAGTTGTGCTTTTAGTTTACTATGATAACTCTCAAGTTTGTTTAGTTTCACCTGTGAAACCTTCCGTGCTCTTTAATAACTCACTATTCACCTGCGTGACTTTGTGTGCTCTTTAATGACTCATTATTCACCTGCGTGACTTTGTGTGCTCTTTAATGACTCATTATTCACCTGCGTGACTTTTCGTGTTTCATAATTGCGTCAACAGTATAATTGGTATTTATGACCACCTTGTCACTGTGTGTGTTTCTTCAAGACGGCTCCGTGGAGTGTGTGTCCGAAGTAACTTCATTTTTAATCTCGTTGAGGCCTCCCTTGTTCCATGTCGCTGACAGTAATCATCATCTAATTAGGTGCAGTTAGGTGGTTATCTTAATTACCTTACCTTAATTACCTTAGTTACCTTAACTGTTGTGAATATTACAACATAACTATATTGCGAGTGAAGTTGTGTTGCATGTTGCTGTTGTTGTTTGACTCAGCTGCTGGGAGATTATCTTGAGATGATTTCGGGGCTTTAGTGTCCCCGCGGCCCGGTCCTCGACCAGGCCTCCACCCCCAGGAAGCAGCCCGTGACAGCTGACTAACACCCAGGTACCTGTTTTACTGCTAGGTAACAGGGGCATAGGGTGAAAGAAACTTTGCCCATTGTTTCTCGCCGGCGCCCGGGATCGAACCCGGGACCACAGGATCACAAGTCCAGCGTGCTGTCCGCTAGGCCGACCGGTTCCTCCGGTACGAGAAAATATTTATTAATATTTGCATCTTTATTGGCTATTGACATTTTTATTGACAATTACAATTAACATCTTTATTGACGGTTAACAACTTTATTGACATCTTATTTTGACAATTACTATTGATAATTAAAAGGGAGCCGGTCGGCCGAGTGGACAGCACGCTGGACTTGTGGTCCTGGGTTCAATCCCAGGCGCCGGCGAGAAACAATGGGCAGAGTTTCTTTCACCCTATGCCCCCGTTACCTAGCAGTAAAATAGGTACCTGGGTGTTAGTCAGCTGTCACGGGCTGCTTCCTGGGGGTGGAGGCCTGGTCGAGGGCCGGGCCGCGGGGACACTAAAGCCCCGAAATCATCTCAAGATAACCTCAAGCTAACATGCTATTGACAACATGCAAACTTGAATTGTACCAAGTTTGTATACTTGGTACAATTAAGTTGATTAAACAGGAAAATGCTATAATATGAAAGAGATAAAGTAAGTTATATGGAAAGGATATATCTTTCCAGGGGGGGGGGAATTATATAATATGACGGAGGATTTTTTTTTTTTGCAGGGATATTCCTACGCGGGCCCTAAGCCTCTGGCTGGCCCACTACCAGGGAAATAGGGAAATGAAATCATGTGTTCAGATGAAGGCCTATTGCGCTAGGGAAACTTAACAATGTGGCCGGGGAAAAAGACGCTGCAAAAAAAAAATACGCAATGATGTGGCAGGGAAAAAAGGTGAGAGCGGGCGGGGATAAACGAGAGAGGCGGGGAAGCAGCGCGTGAATAGGACGGACGGGAAGCCTCGAGTCTGGGGACAAATGTCAGAGTTCAGGGGAAGAATGAGAGTCCCTGAGGGGAGAATGATCCGAGCCTTTTATAGAAGGGAGAAAGAAGGATGGAGGGAAGGAAGAAGGTGGGAATAAGGGGAGGGAGGAGATGGGAGATGAGGGAAAACACCTTGCAGGTATGAGGCTCCTATATTTACACCCTTAAGATTAATGTAAACATACTTTTTACTCTTTCATGTTTAAAGATATTCCTTGTCCCGATCTCAGACGGAACTGTAGAGCTACCTTGGTTACCTTGAGGTGCTTCCGGGGCTTAGCGTCCCCGCGGCCAGGTCGTCGACCAGGCCTCCTGGTTGCTGGACTGATTAACCAGGCTGTTGGACGCGGCTGCTCGCAGCCTGACATACGAGTCACAGCCTGGTTGATCAGGTATTCTTTGGAGGTGTTTGTCAAGTTCTCTCTTGAACACTGTGAGGGGTCGGCCAGTTATGCCCCTTATGTGTAGTGGAAGCGTGTTGAACAGTTTCGGGCCTCTGATGTTGATAGAGTTCTCTCTCAGAGTACCTTTTGCACCTCT